AAGCTCTATCACTCCATCATGAAAGCAATTCTGGGAAAAGATTATAATCAGAGTTTGAAAAAATATTGAAACTATGAGGATCTATTTGACTCTTCCACTTTCTTAAATATAACTTTGCCGTAGTGTAAGCAAAACTTTCTATACAAACAATGTTCAATTTTGAAAGCTCTATCACTCCACCGTGAAAGAAATTCCGAGAAAAGATTATAATCAAAACTTGAAGAAATATTGAATCTATGAGGACCTATTTGTTTCCCTTTCAAAAACTTCCAGCCCCTAAAAAAATTGTTCCATATAGTACTAGTCATGCTCTACATGCACTCCAATTTTTATTAAAAACAAAACTCTCTAGCTAGATAAATTTCCCTGTAGCATAGCGTGCTAGTCCTTTTACTCACCGTATATGAAACAAATATCGCTATTTATCGATAACCAATTATTCGAGGAAACTGCCAGCCTTTTCCTATTCCCCTCTGCTCGAGGGAAGCGAAATTAAATTGTCCGCACATTAGTGTCCGAAATAAATCGCAATACAAGAGGTTAATTCTTTCACAGCTACGGTCCCACCGAGACACACTTCTGCGCCACTTTATACTCACTTCCCCCCAAACAACTGCCTTCCTATCCCATTCCTCTCTCTGGTTTTCCACGAATCAAGGTTGATTCGAAAAATCCTGCTCTGTTATTTTTCGCGTAGTTTTTCACCACGGTTCAACCGCCGGGGTCAGCGTTCATTACCGGCCACTTTACGCACGGGCCAACTGGTCAAACTGTCGCGGTGCTTTCGGCGAATGTCTCTGTTTGCCGTTGGCCATGCGAACGACGTTATTAAAATTACGCGCGGCCGAGCACGCGAACCCCATTCCCTTCGCGCGAGGAATTTTAAGTTCGACCACCGGTTCCATGAATAATGCGGCTAAGCACGTTACGCGGGTGCGAGAGCGAGGCGTATCCGGAAAACTGTGCGCGGATGTCTCCGTGCACGCGGCTCCGCGGCCGAGCAAATCCCGGATAAGTACAGACATTATAGGCGTACATATTACACGCGACTACGTGCCGATATATTTGCGTGATTTGTTGAGTTCGCGCTGGCCGAAAGCTCGTCGATGAATTCGCGCCGACCGAAAGCTCACCGATGAATTCGCGCCGGCTATTCACGCTGCGTTAATCGGCTGTGACCGAAGCTTCGCACGTTTTCCACTGGGCCCAGGTGATCATTGTAGGGGCGGAATTCGGTGGCGTTTTCCATGGGGCCCAGATGATCATTACAGGGACGGAATTTGGAGGCATTTTCCACTGGGCTCCGAGGGTTACTGCAGGAGCAGAATTCGGTACCGTTCTCCACTGGGCCCCAATGGTCACTGCGGGCGAAAGTAGTAGAATTTTGTGCCGATTTTCACTGGGCCCCGATGGTCATTATTGACGACAGGGGTGGAATTCGATGCCACTTTCCACTGGGTTCCGATTGTCACTGCAGACGATGCGAGCAGAATTTGGTGCCATTTTCCACTGGGCCCCGATGGTTATTGCAGGGGCGGAATTCGGTTGCGTTTTCCACTGGACTCCAATGATCACTGCGGACGACAGGGGTGGAATTCGGTGCCACTTTTCACTGGGCCCCGATGGTTGCTGCAGACGACGCGGGCAGAATTCGGTGCCATTTTCCACTGGGCCCCGATATTCATTGCAGGGACGAAATTCGATGGCGTTTTCCACTGGGCCCCAAGAATTACTACAGGAGTGAAATTCGGTACCGTTTTCCACTGGACCCCGATGATCACTGAGGGCGAAAGTAGTAGAATTCGGTGCCGTTTTTCACTGGGCCCCGATGGTCACTGCAAAATCGAAATTTGGAGTCATTTTCCACTGGGCCCTGATGGTCATTGCGGTGGAAAGTAGTAAAATTCTGTGCGGTTTTTCAGTGGGCCCCAATCGTCACTGCGGACGACAGTGGTGGAACTCGGTGCTGTTTTCCAGTGGGGCCAGATTGTCACTACAGGGAAAGAATTCGGTGCCATTTTCTATTGAGTCCCGATGCTCATTGCGAACAACAGGGGCGGAATTCACTGCCCCATGAGGATGGAAAAACCAACGAAGTTCGCCTAACAACGTATAAAAAATTAGCGGTGAGAGATGGCAAGAGGAATCTGACAGCGAGGGATTCTGGGCGAAAAAACGAGTAAAAATCGCCCTGCGAGGTACCCGCGCGAAAGCTTTGCTTGCGCGGGAAATTGAATTTGAAAATGTCGGGACACCGCACAAGTAGAATGGGTCCGCGTGGGGTCAGACGCACCGGGAACCATCATTTCGTAATCGCCCGCTCTCTGCTCCTACCCGGTGAATTAGGGTGGCTGTATTATTTATGCGAAACCTGTGTCCACATACGCAAGACCATCCCGTGCAGCCCGGACCATCATGTTCCTTAATCTTTTCCTCGATTAAAGTTACAACAGGTCGGATAGCGACCACTGTGCCATTCGTGTGCCACGAAATTTTTATTACAGCTGCATTTTATATCTCGGTACTCCGGGCACACCTGTAGGAGATTCAGAAGGATCCGTGTTGCGTCCAATCTATTGAATTTCTACAATTGTCAGTGTGTAATTTCTCGTATGGCATTCCAGCGTTTATTAAAATACGCCGGGAACTAACCGTATACAGTTGTATAGCAACGAATATATAAAATTCATTATTAATGAAAAATACAAATATGCAGATATGAAAGAATATACCTGTCTTTGTGAGTTACAATAATGTAAAATTACGAAAGTAGTATTGAGAATGAAACTTTTCAGAAAATAGAAGATCCTTTTGAACTCTGGCGGCATCGTTCTCACTCTCGCCAATAGATGGATTCGTACTTGAAGGAGGTTCGAGCACTTTCTCGCAAGTCCTCGATAAAACCCTTCGTTTCCTATATATAGAATTTCTCAACATTCCAATATTATTCCCATCTAAGACAGGGCCTGATGAATTCACTAACAGGCCCAAAACGAAACATGTGTAACCCTTCCTTTTTTCTTTCATCCCTTCTATCACCACTGCCACATTGAGGGTGCCAGTGACCAACTGACCACAGTAATCGTGGGGGTGGACCCCCACAAAACTAAAACCCGAAATATGGCCTCTTGTCGGCCAAATAGCGAAGGTCTTCGAGACCCAAAAATCACTATTAGACTGCAACGTGCAGCACACCTAACACCATCGTTGTTACTGTTTATACGGCATTCAAAAACGTATCACGCGCCAATTAATTTCATATTTTTACGAATCGTGAGTGTAATTTGAAATAGAATATTTGCTTGTGACTAGTATCCCGATTATTTGTCGCAACTAAACTGTATAGTTAAACGTGAAACGTTGGTGGAGTACCGTTTCGGACACGCGCTTCACGATATTTATACGTTTCGATGATGGGTGTCGAATACGTACCGATTTCTGTTTTTTGATTCCCGTGATGTCTCGTTGTGTCCTGTTCGGTGTTCCCTCGAGTTTGTTTTGATTGGTTAAGAGTGGATGTTAGTGGAGGAGAAGTAGAGTTTTTTGATTGGACGTGGGTGTGTCGGACTTTTAGGCGAGGAGTGGGGAAACTGTCAAGGAAGCTGCTTTTCGATAGTCAATCACGTGATTTATAAATAGGTGTCCGTCTGTCGCACGTGGGTCCAATTTATCGGGCCTGGTAGTTGCAAATTTTCTAAACTTCTGCACCTAGATACATGATTTAATCCGCTGAAGGGTTTCAAAGCAGAGGTCTAACTTTCGTAGCTATAGTCTTGACACAGAATAATAAGGTCTTCAGAATTATTTAGAATAAAGATATTAAAATAAGGTGCTCATGCTATTAACACGACCTCAGGTACGACAGCAATCCGCGTGTTCGCTTCTACGAGATATTTCGTTCTCGGGAATACCCAGCAATCTACACGCTGGATTGGCAAGCTCGCGTAGGGTATTTTGCTTATCATCGAACATAATTTTACGGTTCCTGGGTCTAATTGGGTTCAGTCTGGTTACGTTCAACCCATTAATCCAGCACGAATCATCGGGAATCATTACACCGGTAGATCAGGCCAGCTGGATCCTCGACCCATCCAGTCCTGATCAATGGCGCACACCACGAGTCGTAGGGAGCAGGGCCAACAGGATGGAAAGAAAGGAACGAAGGGAAACAATCAACTGGCAGGAAAAATCCGCATAATTCCTGGCGGAAGAGTCGCCGGGAGCAGGTCGCCCGGAGCGTAGCGTATTTCCCCCCAATTTCGTTAGCGCCTGCACACACGCAACGCAGCGAAAGAGGTAGCCTCGCGCAGCGGCAGAGCGAGACGGAGAATTTTGCAGCGATCATCGACTTGGAGAACTGCGCAGACGCACTGGGACCGACTCGAACTCGCCCCGTCTCGGTCGCTCGGGTCGTCCCGTCCACTGCCTCCGTCTCTGTCCGCTCCTCTGCTCCCGGCCGCTCCTCGGCCCTTCTCCCACCGACCCGAACAACCACCCCGACCATCAGACCATCTCTGTCGCTACCAGAGCAGCAGCACCAGCACCACCACCACCGCCGCCGCCGCCACCACCACCACCACCACCACCAACCAGCACCACCGTCACCACCACCAAGGAAGCATCAGTGGTAGCAGCAGCAGCAGCAGCAGCAACACACCAGCACCTCCTGTTCCTGCTGGTGTGTGCCGATGCCGCAGTAGCGACTGCCTCTCTGGCCCGTATAGATTTTCAATTAGTCCGCGCGGAACGTGGAAAATAATGTGCCGCTCCGACACCTGCTGACCGTCCTCGAAGGTCGCTCGCCCGGGTGCCCGTCGACGTGCGGTCTATACCACGTCGTTCCCTATCGTCGTCACCGAGGAATCCGTACCTAGTGGACAGACAGACGGACGGAGAGAGAGAGAGAGAGAGACAGATCGATTTCCGTCTCGTGTGCGTGAACAGTGCTAAAGACAGAGGATGGCCGGTCAGTGACGAGATCTTCGAATGGTCCACGGTCCATGGGGTCGCCAGAGAGGATGCCGTTTCCGGTGAACCACAGGACCCTGCTGTCCAGGCTCGTCGCGCTCTCCGCATTCATACTGCACTCAGGTAGGCTGTGTATCCATGTCCCGATGGACGAACCAAGGCTTCGCAGCTCCTTCCTCGGAATCGTACACCCGGTCACGCTGTAATTCAAAATGGTACCCTGTCAAGTTTCCTCGCTCCGACTGCTAGCGGGACATGTCTCGCGGATGGGAGTGGGATCGAGAAAAACCGTGACAAACCAGGAATAAACGTTTCACTCCGGTCCACTGCGTTAATTACCAGTCCAAGATATCGCCAGTCAATATCCAGCAGAGACTCCACGCGACCGTTCGCATTGTTTGAATGTTTGCACGGCGACCAATGGGCCCCTGGCATCCAAACCACATCGATTCCAGTGTCAGCCGCGTGTAATTTGCGTAATTCCAATATCCTAAGCGCGTCGATCTTCCTTGGTCCACGTGGAGATCCGGGAACAATTCTATCTGACACTGCGATCATCGATCTTGCACTCTGGGTTAGAGACTCCGTGCAAACTTCGTCCTGACAGGGGTCAGTTTTGGCCAGGAAACGATTCTCCGAAGATTGCTCTCGTGACGAAAATTTCTTCGAAAAGACCTGGAAAATACAGATTAAAAATGAGTACGGAGTTTTTCGAATTTGGTTAGATTCGAGTGGTTCTTTGTTCTGGGAGGAGGATAAACGAATCTCTCCCTGTTTCTTCTGCTAGTTTCGCGATCTGTTCGAAGTTACTGAGACGTTAAACGAGCAAACGTGAATCAAGGGTTCATTTTCAACGATGATCGCGTCGGTTTACCGTGTTCCATTCAAAAGAGCGGGATAGAAGCTTCCTTGGTCACAGGGAGCGCGAACTTCCGTGAGAGAATGGCGGTAATACGGTAACCAACAGACATTTAGATAGGATCCGCTTTGTCGGGGATAGAAATAGGATTCCCGGGACGCGGAAGTCCGCCAGGATAAGAGGAAAAGTGGATAAATTCCGGCCGCGTATAAAACCTGCTACGAATAGGATTTCCATCGAAATTTTTCAACATCGCGAATCTTGAATTTATCTCGGGGCCTACTTCGAATCCAAATTACCAATTTCAATCGAGACGAGTTAAATATCAGTTCCATCTCAGCCAACTTTGCGGGGGGTATTAAATCCCAGTTAGGTCTAACCCGGGTTGGAATTTAAATTTAAATAGAGGAGAATTAAGTTCCAGTTAAAATATTAAATATGATACGGTTTACGGCCAAATTGGATTCAATTTTAAATTCCAATGAATCTTATGGACTAGATTAGAATTAAAATTCAATGGATAATACGGATGATACTTAATCAAGGGGAATGAGAATTTCGGGATAGGAAGCTGAAAAAAGCTGAAGAAAGCTGAGGAAAGCTGAAGAAAGTGCGATACGAAGGAATAAGTTAGTAGTTGAACGAGGAAAGAAGCAAGTAGGCAGCTTTTCCCAGTCGTCACGCGACTCTCGGTTAATCGCCTTGAGGACCATTCCCAATCAAGAAACGAGCAAATATACGGGCGCGTAAAGCGGTTCGTGATGTCACGTTCGTTTAAAGATGGGGCCATCACGTAACCGTCAGCGGCTTCGCGAAAGCGTATTACGATAGGTCGTTAACTCGAGTACTCTAATTGGCTCAATTTCCAATAAAGCTCATCGGTGAACCGGCACCAGCTTTGAACCTATTTAAATAAAACAATACGCCGAGACCACCCTCGCAGCTCCCTTCATTCATTATCTGCTACCCTAACCTCCCTGATTCCTCCAGCGAGAAAATTACAACTTCTACAGAAAGCTGGCAGACTTCTTCGGAACACGAACTCCGCTCGAATGGTGTCCCTGGTATAGTCGTGGTGTCCTTGGTACAGTTAATTTCCCCCAAAATTGATAGAGGATCCTCAGGGGATCAGAGAACTGGTCTGGTCCTGAAAATCAGAATAAAGTGTGTTTTAAATGATGGTTCTCTCTTAGATTAGGTTCGTAGTCAGATTCGAGTCAAGTCTGAGCTGTGCTTATGTCCGGGTCACGGTTAGGTCGGAATTGAACCTGTGTTCGGGTCAAGGTTGGGCTTGGTTAGGCTTGAACTGAGTTGGACTCTGTTAGGTCAACATTGTGTCTGAATTACGTCAGTTGCATTTAGATTAAATCGGAGGTAGGTCTCGGGACAGACTACAATTAGGTCTGAGTTAGACCAAGGTTTCATCTACATCTGGTCAAAGTTAGGTCTATGATAGGTTTGGATGAGATTAACTTGAGCTTGTTTAAAGCAAAATCATATCTAATTCAAGATGATATTGTGACTGAGATTTGCCAAAATTTAAAAAGATTTTTTGGGCTAATTTTGATCTAAATTAGATCAAAGTTGGACTTATCTTACGACTGAGTTCGATATACAGGGTGAACCATTTAACGCGACCACTTCGATCATTTTCATTTTTAGTAAATTCGTCTTTTTTATCCTTATTAATACGGTTAATTTAACAAAAATAGAGCGTCATTTCGATACTCTTTCATATTTCACCATTTATGACAAAATAATTATCGTTTTCCTAATAAGTAAATAATTGAAAATAATCGAGGTGGTAACGTGACCACCCCGTATATTCGATATTTGCACATACAAAAATAAATTTTGTTTCATATTTTTTGTTTTTGTAGTCAGGAATGACCCTTAGCTCGGTCGGTAATTAAAATTTTATGATGCGCTATATGTAACGAAACTCGTATTTCGAGCACTCCGTGTATGTTAACATACGAGTGCCATGGCAGAAAATTCGATAATTCGAGGCTGGAAAAAATACGGTTGAAGCACGCGAGCTGAAAATTAACCGCCATGTACCGTTTGATTCGAGGCATGAACGCGAAATATCAGGCGATAATACAGTCGGTAAATAATCTGAGTATATATCTGGCTACTGATTAACCTCCCCTCTCGACAGGTTCGTCCAACCCTCGTCCGATTGCCTTTAATTAAATCGACCGTGTCCGTGTCCGTCACGAGCACGTGCGACCGGCATCGTGACGCTAGGCGTCCACCTTTTCACTGGAAAGATACAACCTCCTGATTGTAAATGTTTCATTAACAGTTAATTGCCGTAAAAGTTATCCATACTGTATCTACAAATTTTGTTAACTATCGTCGGTACAGCAGTTACGTACAAGTTGAATAATTTTCGCAACTCGATTAGCTATAAATTATTTAATTTTCTCTTCGATTTCTAGATACGCTATTACAACATCGCATGGAGAATTTAGTTGAGTGCACACTCCGAGGTTCGATTTATTTCGAACACGTGGAATATTAATGTGCATCGTGCAAGATTCCTTCCATCGTATTCCATCTCAAATAGGACGTATTTCCAGCAAACGTAGTTGTATTTGACGGGAATCTGCTCGAAAGTGCCACAGTTTATACCGATCTGACCTACAAGTGTTTTCATACCGCTAGTCATACCCGGACGGTGGGAAAGGAAACTTCTTTATCGACGGAGAATAGATTTCTTTTTTTACTCTCTTATTTGTTTTTATTTTTTGTCTTTCTTTTTCCTTTTTTTTCTTTAAATCGCCGAAGGAAAATCGAACGAATGCACGAGAACGTCGCCGGAAACGCGTTTTATCGGTGGAAAAATGGAGTGGAACGGATCGAGGAAGTTAATTAAGGCCACTCGAAAAACTGCAACCACCGGCTCGAGTGATGTTTAGTGAGTTGGCAGCATCGCAAATAACGGCTGAAGAAGGAAATAGGAATAATAGAAAATGAAAGAGAGCTTCCTCTCGATACGGTTTTAACACTTAACTCGCGAGTCGCTTTTGTCGATTTTCCAGCAATGCAATTGACTAAAGGGGGGAGGAGGGTAATCTATTGAATATCTGACTGGAAATTGCTGATTTTCCGCCATCAACCAAACGGAAATTCACAGACTCCGTCAATGACAAGAAGCAATTTAATTGTTCGCTGTATCGTTTCCAATAACCTCTGCCTCTGTCTGAATGGCGAGGGGAAAGAAGAAAAGAGGGGAGTGGAGGGAGCGCGATTAACTACCGCTCCAGGGGGAAGCATTTGCTCAGTTTCGTGACGTATTTTCCGTTCGATCACGGGTAATTTTAAGAAGCTTACCGCGTAAGAGGATCAGAGGTTCGGCTACAGAGTAGTTACAGACATCCTATGGCAAACTTTTTGTTTCGTACCTCAACTATTTTCGAGATGATCAGTGATGTATCTGGAATAGGTTACAGATGAATTGAATTCTACGATAAAAGTTAATAACCCACACGGTAGATGGCGGTATTTCAAATAGACTAGCTCCGCGTGCGGTCAGACTTAACAATGTCCGGGACACCTAAAACTGAAAACTTGGTAGATAATGAAGAACTCTGTGTCACTAGTTGAGTAAATACCAAAGCTATTATCAAATAATATTTTTAATAACTTACCGTCAGATTTTGTGAAAGCTAACGAATAAAAACTTAATGGAAAAAAAAATTGTATAAAGTCAAAAAAAGAATTGCAAACACCATGATAAACCTTTCAGGTATCGTGGCCCTTCGCATGACAACCGTACAGATACCGCAACACGTCGTTCTAAACGAGACGGTCCGCATGCAATGCAACTTCAACTTGGACAAAGAGCCATTGTATTCGGTGAAATGGTATAAAGACGGCCACGAGTTTTATCGTTACGTACCTAGAGATGTGCCCACGGTCCAGACCTTCCGTGTTCCTGGTGTGAACGTGAACGTGAGTAAACCTAACGGGAATACAGATAACTTCCATTGAAAGATTACGATCAGTGACGATCTTGGGTTCCAGATACAAAATTCCACGGAAATATCGGTGATACTGAACAATGTGAATCTTACTAGTTCAGGGAGGTATCGATGCGAAGTGTCTGCAGAGGCACCTTTCTTTCAGACCGTGTCTGATCATGCAGATATGACAGTAGTAGGTGAGGAGACATGCCAATTAAAATCAAATTATATGATTAGATTGCAATAAAAAAAAAAAACTACAATATTGAGAAAAACTCTGACTAATAAAAAAAGGGGGAATTTACTACCTTTGCAGTTCTTCCTGATGAGGGACCACGAATAACTGGTGGTCGTTCCCGCTACCAAGTAGGGGAAGTCGTCCGTATGAACTGCACATCCGCACCCTCGAAACCGGCCGCTCTATTAACTTGGTTCATCAACGGCGAACCGGTGAGTACCTCGTAAAAAGAATCTTTCCCCCAAGTCTGCTCTCCTAATTCCACGACAGAGACTGAATGATCAACATGTACACTCTGTCACAAGTATAGTTCGTCATATTCATATTACGACCGCCATAGGCTACCTAAAGATACCTATAAACCCGACGTTAGCGACATCTGTTGATTCGTCTTCGTACAAAACAATTTCTGCCTCTGTGGCTAATTTCAATGGGGAAAGAAGCTCGCGTAACCGTGACAAAAGCCTGACAAAAGGCGCCATGTGAAAAGAAGCTTGGCAAAGTGAGCTCTAATCGCGCGTTCCCAGGCAAAACCGCGGCTTTAACTCTGTCTATTTCATTGTTACGAAAACAATCGACGGCTTTCAGGTCAATACCCAGTACCTGAAGGGACCGCACATTACTGCCGTGGACGAGAAGGGTTTGGAGACCGCGGTATTGGGCTTGGAGTTTCGCGTCGCCAACAAACACTTCAAGCTGGGCGACATGAAGTTGAAGTGCTTGGCGACAATAGCGACCGTCTATCTGCAGAGCAACGAGGAGAGCGTAGAAGGAGACGAGAGGATCCTAAAAGCTCCGGTGATGGAAAGCCGCGAGACCAGACCACAGAGCCATACACGCAACAATTTAATCAATGGTAAACGTCCCAGTAAATCCCTGTCATTTGTTGACCAAATACTTCAATAGAAACTTGCTAGATGTCACCACTATTCCACGATTTTTAAGTTCTCAATTGGATAATTTAGATAGATTTGTGTTTTCTATTATTGTAGCTCTGTCGTTCTTTTCATTAAAATTCACGATAATATCAATGAAACTCGTGAAAAATGATATTGCCAATGAAATATGATCTATAGCATATTGTATTTTTTATTGATCAGACACTCGAGACCATTGTTTATGTTCGTACAATACTGGTGAATATTTAAACAGAATTCATGCAAAATTTACTGGCCACTGTCTGGTTAAGTGAGATACTTTCAGATGCAAATAAATCGGGAAATTGATTACATTATAGGTTAATTGGCTTGCAATTAAACGTTTGCCCGTTTCAGTTTGATAAATAATTCATCGATCAAAACAAGGTAACAGTTTCGAGTCAAGTGATAATTAACTTAACCGAAAAGCGTCCAATCGAGGGGATTAATAGCATTTATTCAGGGAAACGAAACCACATGACTACCACAATCCATGTTTGTTATTACAAGACACCAAATAAAACTTGAGTCAATGATGATTTGATATATGCGATTTTTTTGCTTATAGCAATAGACATACGAACATAAAACAACTTAAAAGTGAAGATTTCCTCCATTGTCATAGTACTTGATATCATTATTTTTAACTTAAACTTTAAGTAGACTATTAAACACATAATATTTTTCAAAGGAAAAGAAATTTTTATTGATAGCAAACTAAATACAACAATTTCATTAGTTAAATAAATCAAAAGAATGAATTTGAAAAACTGTTCAAGTAGTATAACTTCTTATAAAAACAAATATTGCAGTTTATATATTTACACTTTGGTTTGAAATCTGTTGTCAAGTAATAAAAGTAAAACAACTTAAAAATGAAGATTTCCTCCATTGTCATAGTACTTGATATCATTATTTTTAACTTAAACTTTAAGTAGACTATTAAACACATAATATTTTTCAAAGGAAAAGAAATTTTTATTGATAGCAAACTAAATACAACAATTTCATTAGTTAAATAAATCAAAAGAATGAATTTGAAAAACTGTTCAAGTAGTATAACTTCTTATAAAAACAAATATTGCAGTTTATATATTTACACTTTGGTTTGAAATCTGTTGTCAAGTAATAAAAGTTCAATAACAGCATAAAGTCTTTAATGTTAAATAAGGACAGAAACTAACAATAGACCTTGTTTGAAGAATAATTCCTTTCAATTTACATCAAGATATTTATACTAATGTAAAACATTACTTTGATATTCTGAATAACAATAATGGTTAACTATATCATTTTGCTTTATTTATTGTCATTTTAATCTCATATGCTTAAAAAATCAATTTATATACATTGAAATATTCAGTTATTCAAAGAAGAATTAGAAATCATACTTCTTGTACGGCACATTCTAAGTAAAACTATTTTGCATTTCAGGAAGTCAAACAACCACAATAATCAACTGGATGATCGTTGTTCTGATCACAGGGATCATACTAACGCGATAATAATGGCAGTTGTTTTTCACGTTGCTTCCTAAAAGTGTAAAACGAGTACGTTAGGAAATTGTTCCCATCGTATCTAATACTAATTTTTAAGCCGCGTAATCGTAATTAAATATCATATCGATAAACATGATAAGGGTAACGTTCAACTGGACGTCTTCGACGTACACACAGTGGTAGGTCTATCAAACTCTTTATTTTTTTTTTTCTCTGATTTCAAACAAATTTTCTTCAAATTTCCAGTTCATTGCTATGAAAAAAATATTAACCTTAACTTTAATTCATAAGGAAAATAATCTCTATCTTAACTGAAAAAAAATTAATCTAATTTTGATTGTTAAAGGAAATTAAAATTTGTATATTTGTTGCATCACTAACTTGTTAAGAAAGACTATAAATAAATGATGATTAATTTAATTCATTTGAGATTGTGGACCTGCCACTGATAATAAAACCAAAATATGTTCTAGGCTCTAAATGTATTCTCGCGTGAAGAAAAGGTCTCATTTAAAACATATCCATGGAACTACCAGAGAGAGCAAAACAATAAAAAAGAAAACAGAACAGAGAATAAGCGACTCAAAATATTCAAAGGAAGCATAAATCCGTCTCTCCATATACATATATATACATATTATATATATATATGTGTGTGTTAGGTCGTCCAGAGATCTTTTTAGCAAATGACAAGGAAGTTCTCGTTGCTTTCCCATACATTGATACATATTATTTTTACTACAATTTTATAAAAGTACTTATATTTTTACTGCATATCTTTCTTTTTATATTTGAAGAAAAAAAGCTTCTTATGGAAAGCTTTTTTTCCATCATAAAAACTTGCTATTGTGTTATACAAATGCAATGGAAAGCAATCATGAACAATTTCTGATAACTAGCTTCACAAACATGCTGGGTAAATATTATTTTCACTAAACTGATAGTGATTTATTCTATCATAAATTGTATACTCTTATCATCAATAATTCTTTCTAAAGTACTTGAAATAATAAAAACATAATAATTTAATGTAATTAATTTATTCAAATATTAACTGAAGTTTAAATCTTTTTAAAATAAAATACCCAGTACTGAAATAAATGGTGCATCTCATACAACGTAATCTCAGCTACGATATTTCAGGAATATATATTTTTATCTAGATTTTTACATTTAATGATCATGTAACTTTATAATGTTTCTAATTTTTCTGCGCAAACTTTTCAAATATGAGGAATTGAGAACTGTTTGAAAATATACGTTTTCATATGTTATATGAGAACATTGTGGTGAGATATTTGAATGCAGGAAATTATACATAAAAGTGTGTTGTGTCAATATTTTAATGAAAAAAATCTTTGCTTTTGTATATTTATGCACAAATTTTCATTTATAACATTAGCTCAGAACCTGAAGATATAACAATCAACTCCTAAAAGATACAAATCAGACTCATTTAAGTTCAAAAAGTAATCCTTCTTGTGAAATTGTTTTCTAATCAAATTTTAGAAAACTATATGAATCTAATTTCTTTTTCCAAATTATTTGAATGATATTTTGAAACTATAAAAAAAATGTATATTTATATTAAACAATCAGTTATAGTTGTCTTCCTGCACAAGACAATTTCGCAAGGAAAGTTGTTAATTAAACATTATGAATAATATTTATTGTTGTTTGTTGCGAAAATTCTATTGATAAATTATTTACATATTGTTATTCCTATATTGGTATATCTGTCGCCTATCCACGACAAAATTCAAAAATCGTTACTTATCGAGTGCTTTCGCACGAGTATTAATGATTTTTTTCTTTTTGGTATAAATTTTTACATATCATTGATTACTATGCATAAAAGAAAAGAAAACGAAAGCCGAATCGCACACGCGATATTGTAATGTCAAGTACTATTGAAAACGAACATGTGTTTCTTATGTAGTAGCATATCAAAATCTTGGTACTTGTCGTATTGTATAAGCGTTTACTGAAGCTGTAAATATGTACATAATTTTCATCGTTATTAAAATTCACTATTATAATATTCTTTCCGTTTCGTTTCTCTCCTCTCTATATGTGAAGACAACATACAACTTACATACAACAAGCTGGTAAAATTCATAAACAATATTAAAAAGTTAATAGTCTAACTTATCAACAGCTTTTACTACCTTCATCATAAAACTTCTTTTAAAAAAATCCGCAAAAAATTACATTACCACGTTCCAAAAAGAAAATCATGTGCAAAATATTTAATTTTCACATCTACATTTTAATACTATATAAAACACTTAACGTGTACACCACTGGTTTTCAAATAATATTATTCTCAAAAATAAAATTTATTTGTAAAACGACAAAGCGTCACATGTAGACACTACGTGATTTTTGAGAAGTGGCAACATTCAACATTTTCCTTTCTTCTTTCCCGCCCGATTATACTAAGGGGAATATTGAAATAAAATATTTATCATTATTACTTATTCTTATTATACATATATTTTATATTTTAAAAATTTGTTAAGAGAAATATATTAAGCTTTAAAAAACTATAAAATATAACGATGAATGTTACAATTTCATAAGCCATTTAAATAATTTTTTCAATCATTTTTTTATTGAATAGAAGAGACATCTGTTGGTAGGAATCAAATATTGTTCGTTATTTAAATATCTATCAAACGCATGAACGGCTGTGAATATTTAAGTGTTTATACAGTGTATTAAAATATTATAGATTTTCTTTTTTAAGTAAATATAGTAGGTAACAAGAAATATGTATGTAATTTTTGGAAATTTAGATTTTATGTGCATGTATTTAAAAACTCCATATATATAACCTCAATAGATCAGAACATTAAACTAAATATTTAATATTTAAAATACATAGGAACTATACATATTATTAAATTCTTGGTGTTAAAATAACAAATTATAATTTTTTATGACTAATATATAATCAATAAATTACCTTTACAAATATATAAAATGTTATTAGATATTATTATACCAGATAAAATTTTAAGTAAACAATTGATAATTTCGTATTTTTTATTTAGATGGAACCTATGACATTAGGATCACCTGTTGGAAGTCCAGTGCAAATTCCTGGAAGTCCAGGAACTTCTGCATATCTCCCAAGTTTCCTTTTAGGTGATACTACAATGGTACATAAATATTATGAAATTTATTATGAAATTCTATTGCACAATATTATGCAATAAACTGAATAATCATTTTTATTAATTTTTCAGCCTGCTAAAATAAATATGTCTGGCCCACAAGATACTCCAAAACAATTACACATCGGACACAGTGGGCTAACCTCTCCGCTTTCTCACTATGGCACCCCAGACTATCGGACCAATCGCCAAAAAGCAGTGTTTGGAGGAAGCAACACTCCTAATACATCACAGATAGTGACAGAAAGTCATACTGGTGGGCCTCCAACGAGAGGACTATTTGATACCTTAGAAACTTCTCCAGCAGGAACACCTTACTTATCAGCAACCAATCAAAGTGCACCTTGCAATCAGCCAAGGCTTGTCATGAACTCTATGAATAATTCTATATTTAATGACGTTGCATTAATTTCTAATACGAGTGAATCACAAGGTCTTTTGCAATGGGTGACTGTTTTTGGTTTTCTTCCTAATGATCTAAATACTGTTTTGGCTCATATTTCAAGCAGAGTTCGTATAGTGGATAAGCATCCTCCACCATACTCACAAAGCAACTGGATACATTTAAAATGTGCTTCAGAACAAGAAGCACAAAGGGCACTCGCTTGTAATGGAAATATAGTGTCAGGATCTATAATGATAGGTGTAATTCCTTGTACAGATGAGGGCGTTGTATTAGGATGTGATAAAGAAAATCGTTCTAGAATGAATGGAAGTATTAAATGTTTTTCTAATTTAGGAAGAATTAATCAATCACCAGAATATAGTACACCACGCACACCAATTAGAATACAAAATGCAAGACCATTGGCAGCTGGTTATAATCAAAATCTTAGTTCTCAATCAGTAAGGTCACCAGAGAATGTTCCACAAAAATCTACAGGTCTAGTATCAAAAGCAATGGAATATATGTTCGGATGGTAACCTTCAATGAAGAAAATTGTACATGTTTTGTTAATGACAATTATTTAATATGTAATTTTCTTTATGTTTTTATAAAAACCAAATGCAATATAAACACGAATAATCTGAGAGAGGAATATATATTGAAAGATACCTACAATGATTTTATATGTTATTTTACTATATCGATAGTACCAAATATAAATCTTTATAAACATTGATTAATTATCACAAAACATTACGTTTAAACTATGTCTCTGTTAGTACTTGTCTCTACTTTAAACTAGTTACTATCGATATTTACTCAGTTCTACTGTAATATAATATAGCTTATGATTAAGAGGCATTAAAATTACTTCCGCGACATGGAGTCACGTATATTGCACAGATATTAATTAAAATGGTCCGTTTCTTAACATACTCGTGTTATTTAAAAAATATTAGTAAATTTTGTTTATAAGCTGATAATGAACTTGTACTTTTTGATCATATTGACAGTATAATACATATGAAGATTCTTATGACAATGACCTCGGTTTGCAATGTCAAAAACATGTGTAATTGTTATAATCAGTGGATTCCTCTCTCATAATTTGCATCTAATATACATCCTCAAAATTTTATACATGTTTTTCATAGAAAATAATTATTACTAATTTGAACAGGAGTATGTTAAAATGCTCAAATCTATTCTTCCCCTAAATCCTGTTCATATGTTAATCGCTAATATGATACAATCGCACGTTCATTTTCTCGTACTAATAAATACATTCATTGTCCCACACTTTGCCTGGTTAAAGTTATTTTGGACTCTCAATGGTAGCACTACCCAAGTCAGTCATTTTTGGATATTTCACTTTTTTCTTTTCCAACTCATCCTGAGCCCAAAGTATCATTTTGAGTAAGTTATTTAATCTTGGGCTAGTTGATTCTTTATGCTCCATCTTTAATATAGCTGCATTCAGTTCGCTTGCAATCTGTAGTTTTATAAAAGAAGATATTTGTACTACTTCTATAAATAACTAATTACAAAATTAAAATTTCATTGTTATTTATCAAAGAACATAGCTTTAAAATGTCAAATACTTTGTAAATTTAGTTGATGTAAATTTATATATAAAATTATTTTTATAATCTATTAAAAATAAAAATTAAATATCATAAACAATACTAAGTAATTATTACCTTTTGCCTATGGGTTGGATGGAGTAAATCACTATAAGGACTCTTATGTGGTTCATCGAAAGCTAACAAAGCTAGAGTACGCTCTAATTCACACAAGATAACATTATCTGATTCTCCAGCTTCGCTTAATCTATCTTGAGCAAATTGCAAAGCTTCTTCTATTTTTCCTGTACGAATTAATTCAATCAGGTGCAACTGTTGTAGATGAAAATAAAGATATCTGTCATTGTCCAATAATTCTGGATGCAGTTGATTCACGAGATCTGTTGCTTCTTGAATACGACCATTTTGAATTGCTTCTCTGATGCGAATTCTATCATCTAAGGAGCTTAAGTCCACTGTGGGTTCTACTCCAGATTCTTGTTGAAACTTTTCTGCAGCTTCTTTAAATCCCTCTGTACAATACATACATAAAAATTAATTAAAGCATAAGAACCCTAAATTATACATTAAAAAAGGAAACTAACCTGTAACCAAGTAATTCATGATCAAATTGTTCATAGAGACACGTTGCGTGTAAGAATTTTCCTCCAGCTTGGCAACCCACTCATCCTTCGTTATATTATCCTGTTTCTCCGGGTAGCTCATCGTTCTTTGGCAATCAGCATCGATGTTTACAACAAGCAAATGTTAATTGAGACTATAGCTTACAGATTCGATTGAGATATCTTACTGGTAGAGATTTTGGAGACTGTTTGACACAACAGCTGATTCCTTATCGCTATTTCAAGCGTAAATAAAAGTATAATCACGAAAGATGCGTCTTAAAAGCAATCAGCTCAAATGGCTTAAAAAAGATATTTTCCGACAGATAAATACGTTTCTTTGACTAAACTAGAAATATTCTGCAAATATATTGTTGCTAAGATATTACTGAAAAATTATGGACTATATTTGATATTAATAGCACAATTGAAATATGTCTCGAAATTGACGTGTATGAACGATGCGCCGTGTGTATGGAAATTTATTTTTTGGTTTACTATGCGACCCGAAGGTGGGGTAGTAGTTTGTAATCATGGCGGACCCGTTAAGCTTGCTAAGGCAATATAATGTTAATAAAAAAGAAATAATCGAACGTGAAAATCAAATTATTTTTGGCGAATTCTCGTGGCCGAAAAATGTAAAAACTAACTATTTGACATATGGGTAAGTACGATCTAAATTTCTCGAAAATTAATCACAACAGCTGTAACCTCGAACAGTTTCCACCATTAGACAGTCTTCTGCATGATCCCTACCATCGATAAAATAATAAACAGTTTGCGAAAAGATTGTTAGCATTTTCAGGGGCTGATCTGTCATTTCTATAGTCCTTGAACTTTAGAAACTAAAAACAAAAATCATTATACACCTGTTTTCTTTTTTTTACGATTTTTTGGATGATGGAATGTGTCGTTCTTTTTAGTTACAGAAATAAAAATAAAGCATACCCTTAACGTGATACTTACTATTATTATTATTGATGTTGTTTTTGTTGTTATTATTATTATTATTATTGATGTTACTGGTACTTAATTGTTTTTATTACTATTACTGTTATAATTATTGTTCTTGTTATTGACGTTATTGTTATTATTATTATTACTATTATTATTGTTGTTGTTATTCACATTCCTATTAGTAAAATATTTCTCTTGCAAAGAAAATTTTTTAAAAATAGATTAGAAACATATAAAATTATAAAACATTTAATAAATGTTTATGACAAAGTATGAAATACAATTTATTATAGATCTGGCAAGGAAGGAACACCAAAGGAATACTACACTCTTGAATGCCTTCTATTTTTACTCAAACATGTACAACTTACACATCCTGTATATGTGCGACAAGCAGCTGCAGAAAATATACCAGTTGTACGCCGGCCAGATAGAAAAGATTTATTGGCCTATCTCAATGGTGAAACAGCAACATCAGCCGCCATAGACAAATCTGCTCCATTGGAAATCCCTACTCAAGTTAAAAGGACAGCTGAAGATGGATTGGAGAGTGGGTCATCTAAAAAGCCTCGTTTTGAAGACACACATGTTCAAAAAGTTAAAGAGCAACTTGCAGCTAGATTGGATGCTCCAAAGGAAGCATCTGTCACAGTAGATAATATTAAATCTCTTTCTGAAGCAATGTCTGTTGAAAAAATTGCAGCTATTAAGGCTAAACGTTTAGCTAAGAAACGTACCACAATTAAAGAAAACGACGATATTGGAATGGGATCTGATCTACGTGTTATATTAATGGATGTTGATGATACAAAAGACATAGTTTCTAGGGAAA